AAGAAATGTCACTCTCTGAATTAGAAACACTTCACCAACTATGCGAATTAGAAAGGACACAAATCCTACAATCACTTGCACTAGCAGTATTAAAAATACCCTACGCAGGATATTTACTATCAGGCAATAGATCAAATTTTTTAGACTATGAAGGAAACATTTTATGGTTTTATACCTGTACCAAAAAAGTATCACCACTATATGTTTTTGAAGATAAAAGATGCTATAAAAGAATCCCTATCTTTTATAAGAATAAAGTACATTTCCTAGACACACTTTCAAGACGAACCTATTTCTGGGATACCGCAGTCCCATGTGGATCAGAAAATAGCCACAATGTAGTTCAACTGAACCCTGATGAAGATCAATATTACCTTCTTACCCCATATCCCACATTAATGCAATCACTCAAAAAATTTTCACCTGAAAGCATTAGAGCTATTGCTCGAAACCCAAATATTGACCTACAGTCAATTGGAATATACTCAAAATCCGATATACAACATCACATTAGAACACAACAATTCCAAGAATTATTAACACAAATGGACACTATACAAAGACAATCAATTGACCAAAACTTACGCAAACTTGCCGAAACAGCAGGATTTGCAGATATTTATACACAAGATTATAGCGGATATTTTAAAGACATTAAAGACTATATATATCTAAACGGTGAAAAATATAGACCACAAGATATTTCACCTATAAATATTTTTAGCTTTGTTACACTAAAAAATGAAATTCTCGATTTTCTAGGATGGCCCTACTACATCTTAGAAAAATTGACTATTTTATACGCAATGTTTAACTTTATAGGATTTCTTTTTTCGCTTTTAAAAGGAATCTATAATACATGCGCTATACACACACAAGTAAATAGACAAGCAAGTGTAGCACGCATACTATTTGCAGGATTTTTTGGAATTTTTTCATCATCAATAAACAAAATTCTTTTAGACGCACAAATAAAAGAATACAACACAAAAATAGCAACAAGACAGAACACATACGACGAAGAACATAACAATGTAGACATAACGCCTACAGCACCACAGCTACCACCCCTACCACATAACCATCCATTATCACTAGTCTCACAAATTTTTCGAAACTTAGCAATAACACATAATTCGAATTTTCGACCAACCATATCACAAAGTCCCAATCAACATATAATGACACACCATCCACTAGATGAAAATACATATGAACAAATTATAGAACAACCGCTTTTCAGTCTCAAAATAATAATTTTTTTTAGCCCACGATGAGCCGACAACTTGGATCCCTACACCGCTCAAATTCCCACCCAACCAACCTCAACACTCCAATTACAATAATTCCACTTTTTGCTTTCCCACCACCCGATTTCCCAACCAATAATGTAACATCAGGCATGAATTCAGACACTAACTCACATATCTCAGTTTTATACTCCGTTTCACAACTTAATAACCCAAATATTGAAACCCCTGATGAATTTGCAGACTCTGAACCATCTCCATCCAATAATTTTCAAACCAACTCCTCAGTTTTTTCAAAACCCCCTTTTCAACCAATCCCGCCAAATAACCCATTCCCATCCATTTCTACACCCTCTTATGCTTCACAAGTCACCCCAACCTACTCTTCATTTCATTCAGACCGATCATCCAATTCTCCAGATACTCCCCAAATCTCCCAGGAACTAGATAATTTTATCACCCTACAACAACAACCCTTCCACCTTGAAAACCCCACTATAAATCAGATTTCATCCACAATAGAATCATCAAACCCACCTACCCCTACACCCTCTTCAGCTTATACCGCATCATTAGCACCATCATCCATATCCACCGAATCATCAAATAGCACTAATAGAGCTTATCGCACTTTCAAAAGAAAATTCCCGAACCATCCATTTCCAACAAAACCAGGAACAGCCCGTGAATATATTAATCATCCAAATCACACTAACACGAAAGATTTTTTAGCAATCACCCTACCTTCATTTCCACAATATACTTTGAACACTCCTAACAACACTAACGACACACGTAGTTTTGTAGATGAACAAGTTTTAATGCCTACACTTCATTGGACATCATATTATCATTTTACTAACCCCCTTTGCCTACCTTTATCTAATACTCACATCGATATAGAAAGAAATAAAGATATGCTATATCGACTCACCACGCCACTAACACATAGACAATTTACTTATATAGGATATAAAAAGTCACTAAAAACACACACTGCACCCCGAGCTAACGAATACACGCTAGAATATTACAATCACAACATCATCCGAGCTAACCAAGACCAATTTTTAGATGATGACCGTTTCGCTAACCCACAAATCACAGAAAAAATTTTCATCAAAACACCATATGTATTTACACTCAATATATTTGATCGCAAATTCGATCACATCATTTCTGAAGCACTAACCGACACACAAGCTTACGAAAGTTTTAAAGAAAAATTTCAATTATTTTCACTAACCTTTCATTTCTTTGCACCACATGAACGAGATTTGCACTGCTCACACGATATTATGTTACGCACTAAACAAACCCACACATATACATATTATCGCTTCATACAAAATCACTTTGATCTACACACTCCATCAAGACAACCACACCACCGTTTTCAATTTATTAACTCTAAGTACACTTCACCATTTTTTCTTAACTTCACATATTGCATCAAAGATACTAACCTTCACGGTATTCTTCGCAATTATGATCCCATAACCCAAATGTATATTTTTTGTCCCATCACGAAATAGTAATTCTAATAATGATGAAAATTTGTAACTTTATTTTTCCCCAAAAACTAGCAGTAAAATTGAAATTCTATGTAGTAAATTGATAAGACGAAAATGCAGTACTAACCTTTTGATATTTCCATTCACTCGCACAAGAATTCTATCCAAACTCGCACAGCTCGCCCACGAATAATTGTTTAAATAATGAATTTTAGTTTCAAGCTTTCACACTCAACAACTCTAACACACGATAACAAGTTTCAATCTTTCCTTTAACCCGGTTGGAAAGGAATTATATACTAAACAAAACTAACCAATGCAGCTTACTAAACACCACAACACATAGAATAACAGCATGACTAAGAAAAGGAAACCAACGGTACCCAAACCGGATTAACCCAGTTTAAAACTGGATAATTTATTCTTTTGAAGACTATTATAAAGTCTAAGAAAGAAATAATAAAACACAAAAAAGTCGAAAGACAAACCCATACCAAAAACAATTTGATTTTTGAAAAAAGGACACAACCAACGAAACATAAGAAAAACCACAATAAACCCAACATAAAAAAGTTATCACATAACAGGACCTCTCACAGAAACCGCACGAAATCATACTCCCACTCCTGGCCTAACCCACCAGAGAGGACGTCCTGAGCATGCTCTATAGCCGGCCTAACCCACCGCGCTACATCCACGCTTTGTGACCACACTTCTATTTTTAATAAGAGGTACTCAAGGGTGAGTAACTCTTCAAAATAACCGAACTAAAACAAAAAGCTTTTGTGAAAACAACTAATCAAAATCATAATTAAAACACCAAACTAATAAAATTTTTATAAAATGTAAATTACACCTTGCAGTATATAGATCAGCATACAACACCAAAGACGAACATCCAAAGACAAAATGAACCCACTACACTCGAAAAAGAATGGCCAACCACAATCAATATGCCGCCCACAATCACAACTCAAAGGATTTAGAGTACGACTTGACTTCGCAGAAAAGGACTTAATTGAACTAGAACAATGACCACCTCGATGTTCAAGTATACGTACAGATCCGAGTAACCAGGCATCCCCTCCACGCACAATCTCCACGCCATTCCCAGACAAGGTCAACCCAAAAGAAGTTCTCAACATGGAACAGAAAAACCTGTCATAGCCAACCATTCTGAAATCAGATTTGAGTTTGTTGCGAAAACCCAGTCGTTGTCATGAGAAGACACAGCGATTGAACCTGGAACTTCTCTAACAAGAGAACCCAGAAGAAATATGATGTTCGCCAAATACCAACGTCCATCATCCATCCTTTGAATTGCAGAAAGACTATTCTAAAAAACTCTGTAAAACCGGGATGGGTGGAACCTGATCTAAACTACATTTTATGATTGGATAAATTAGATATTTTACCACTGTAAAGTATTTAATATTAACCAATCATGATCCATCTAACTAACAACCCACTTATTTGTAAGTGCTGAAATTACTTGTAATTTCAGCACCAGAGAGATTTGAATTTAACTTAGAATTTAGTTGCCTCTCCAAAGGAACTTCAGCAGCCGCAATAAACCAGTATACCCTAGATCTATTGAGCCTAGCAGAGACTAGTTAAACAACCTGAGACTAGATAGTATAAGAGTAAGATTAGGATCGGTATTAGACTAAGAAGTTGCACGAATCTATCCGGCCGAAAATAAGATAGCGTGACGAGCAGACGGTGTACCCTATCCGAAAATACTCTATGAGTTAACCACATCGGTCATAACTCAGAACTGATTTTGTGACTAATAAAAGAACATTTTTTTCTCAATTTTTCGGAAATTTTGGGTTTTTTTTGGAAAATTATGCTAGTTATATAAAATTCATAGAATAAAATTGTATGATTAGAAATTTTCCGAAAAAAATCAATATTTTTTCTCAATTTTGCGGTCTCTAAAATGGTTTTCAATACCCTTAATCTTTTTAAATCAATTATGAACTTATCTTCATACTTATTTTCAAAGTTTTTTGTCGCGAAAAAAAAGCCTTTTTCTGAAAAAATGCATTCCTACAATTTTCGTAGAAACTGTATGACTAGCATAGTGACCGGAATTTTGCTTATGTGGAGGTCAACACGGGGTAATGGTTTTTACTATCTCTAGTAAATGTAGATTGAGATCAGTGAACTTTCCAAAATAAATGTCAATTGATACATTAAATTAGATGTAGTTATTTCATTTGTTGGAGTTCAAAGTTCTCAGTAAAGAGTGCGGTCAAAATATAGACAAACTTTGTTTTAGACTCGTCAGAAAGTATAGACAAATAAAAATATAAACCAATCAAAATCGAGATAAGAAAAAAAACGTCCGAAAAAATCATAAAAATACTTTATGACATGTCTAATTTGTGACCTGTATATTTTTGCTTAATCTTTGACCTTTCTAACCTCTCAGTACATAGTTTTAAATTTACGCTTCACTATCATATTATTGCTTTTGCCAACTCGTAAGTTTTCTGCGTTATCTTCTTAATCTTTTTTGACTTTTTCGTTTTGACTGGTGAAACGTCTGAGCTTTTTGATTCAGGTAACGGTGTTTTTTTTCTATTCTGATTTGGCAATAAACCCTGGCAAAATCAGGTGGAATGGCAACAGAAAATTTTCACATTTCTCTTAAATCGTTCAAATTGGAAAACGTCCTATTCGAAGGACCCTTCACAGAAAACTCGATTTTATCGACCAAAACTTTCAAAAGCTTACCTAGCGACATTTTTCTGACAACTTATCCTAGAACTGGAACCACATGGATGCAAAATATTCTTATTGGTTTAATTTTTGAACCCGAAACAGTTGCGACTACAGGCGCAGAGGAAATGGGAAGAATGTTTCCATTTATGGAGCACATTTCATCCTTCTTCGGAAATAGCGGATACGAACGCGCCGAATCGATGACGACAACTCCTCGGCTTTTTAAAACTCATTTGCCGATTCATCTGGCGCCGCAAGATATTTTCACCGAGAAACGAAAAAACATCGTAGTTGTTCGAAATCCGAAGGACACGGCTATTAGTTATAACACATTTTACATGAAAAAACCAGTTCTGAAAGATTTTTACAGATGTGAAAACTTGGAACAGTTTCTGGACAAATTTTTGGAAGGAGAAATTTTATATGGAAGTTGGTGGAAGTGGACAAAAGAGTGGATAACAGAAGCCAGGTAAAAAAAATTGAAACGTTCATTTTGAACTTGAACGGTCTCAAAAAACGGTCAACAAAAGATTTTGAAAAATACCTCTCGAGAAAATCCAAGATCCACGCCTCTATATATGTGCAGTTCGAGTTAAAATTCAAGTGTCCACGTTCATAATTCCCTCTTTGCTGCAAATTGCTAGCAGGCGGTTTTTTGTGATCTTATTTGTTTTCAATCGCTCGGCTTTTTCTACGACTCAATTTTATATGTTAGAATGGCTCAGTAAAATTCAAATATTCAAGGTCACAAAAAACAAATCGCCTGCAGTCCAGTCAATTTGTAGCAGGAGGGACTTCTGACCGAGAACAACAATTTTATCTCAAGTCTGAAAGTATTGAAAATTATTAAAGAACAGCGTTTAAGATTGTCTCAGGGTTATGGAAATTAAAGAACAGCTTCTCTTGATTTTAAATGCTTCCAGAAGTCATCCAGAAAACATCTTAGTGCTCCATTACGAAGATATAGCATTGGACTTCGCTGAAGCTGTGAACAAAATGTGCCTCTTTCTGAATCTTCCAATTCTTAGCGATGTCAAATTAGACGAGCTGCGCATATTGACTTCAATTGATGATATGAAGGTAAAAAGCAAAAAACAGGGTTAAGTTCATAGAAAAAGTGATAAACAGATGAAAAATTTCAGTAATTCTTCTGAATTTTCCATTTTTTATTCTGAATAGGTTTGTTTAATGCCTTGAAGCCAAACAATCTGCGGAATTGATTTAATATATACAGTTATTCCCGTTCAAAGTTGGAACAAAATAATTTACATACTGCACTATAACCAAAAAAAATTACAGATGAAAAATGAATAAATCCCCGCAGTTCAAGGGTATGTACAAGATGGTATGAAAAGTACAAATAGTTTTCGTTCAATTGTTGTCAAAAATTTTATCGAATTCCTCTAAATCATTCAATGCTACCAATATTGGTCTAATTAGCAAAAGGGCAACTGGCGTAAGGAAATTGGAAGGATACTACGACTGGTTAAATGGTGAGTAGTATCTTTCGGTCAATCTGTCGCCTAGGATAACTACCAATGTGACCGATGGCCCTTTTCCGACACTTTATCAAAAAAGCGTCTCTTTTCGAAAAAGTTCGAGAGATTACTTTTTCTCCTAGGTCTTGACACTCTCTAAGGTGGCTGCTTTGATGTCGTCTGAACTTCTTCTGGAGACTTTTTTTTGGTCGAATGCCCAATGGTCGGAACCCCGCGTAAGGTATCTTGAAGCCAAGCCGCTCTTTTTCTTTTTCAAATAGCACTATTTCCCCCACTTGACGATCATCTAGTTCTTGTCTAGGATCTTCAATATGATTACAAAAATCGATTTGCGTTCTTTCACCGAGTCTTTTAAAACTTAAAAAAATCTTCGATGTAACAATTTGTGAAAAAGAGGTTTTTTATAAAGGACTCCATTAATATCTGGAGTTCATTCGCGTATCCCTTCAATCATGAAGTTCAGTAAAAAGTCCAAAATACTAGTGGTTGCCCCGCCTAATGTGCAAAAAATGCATTGTTTCTTGGTGTTTGATGTTTGTGCTGAATTCTTTCCCCACATGGTTATGTACGAGGAAAAACTTTTGAGATGAAAAAAAAAGCTTTTCTTTGTTTTAAATACTTTCAGATGTCATCCGGAAAACATCTTAGTGCTCCATTATGAAGATATAGCATTCAATTTTGCTGAAGCTGTGAATAAAATGTGCCTCTTTCTGAATCTTCTAATTCTTAGCGATGTCAAATTAGACGAGCTGCGCATAATGACTTCAATTGATGATATGAAGGTAAAAAGCAGAAAAGTTGAAAGCATTTTAATCAAACAGGGTTAAGTTCATAGAAAAAGTGATAAACAGATGAAAAATTTCAGTAATTCTTCTGAATTTTCCATTTTTTATTTTGAATAGGTTTGTTTAATGCCGTGAAGCCAAACAATCTGCGGAATTGATTTAATATATACAGTTATTTCCCCTTCGAAGTTGGAACAATAAAATTTACATACTGCACTATAACCAAAAAAAAATTTACAGATGAAAAATGAATGTATCCCCGCAGTTCAAGGGTATGTACAAGATGGTATGAAAAGTACAAATAGTTTTCGTTCAATTGTTGTCAAAAATTTTATCGAATTCCTCTAAATCGTTCAATGCTATCAATATTGGTCTAATTAGCAAAAGGGCAACTGGCGTAAGGAAATTGGCAGGATACTACGACTGGTTAAATGGTGAGTAGTATCTTTCGGTCAATCTGTCGCCTAGGATAACGACCAATGTGACCGATGGCACTTTTCCGACACTTTATCAAAAAAGCGTCTCTTTTCGAAAAAGTTCGAGAGATTACTTTTTCTCCTAGGTCATGACACTCTCTAAGGTGGCTGCTTTGATGTCGTCTGAACTTCTTCTGGAGACTTTTTTTTGGTCGAATGCCCAATGGTCGGAACCCCGCGTAAGGTATCTTGAAGCCAAGCCGCTCTATTTCTTTTTCAAATAGCACTATTTCCCCCATTTGACGATCATCTAGTTCTTGTCTAGGATCTTCAATATGATTACAAAAATCGATTTGCGTTCTTTCACCGAGTCTTTTAAAACTTAAAAAAATCTTCGATGTAACAATTTGTGAAAAAGAAGTTTTTTATAAAGGACTCCATTAATATCTGGAGTTCATTCGCGTATCCCTTCAATCATGAAGTTCAGTAAAAATAACAAAATACTAGTGGTTGCCCCGCCTAATGTGCAAAAAATGCATTGTTTCTTGGTGTTTGATGTTTGTGCTGTATTCTTTCCCCACATGGTTATGTACGAGGAAAAACTTTTGAGATGAAAAAAAAAGCTTTTCTTTGTTTTAAATACTTTCAGATGTCATCCGGAAAACATCTTAGTGCTCCATTATGAAGATATAGCATTCGATTTTGCTGAAGCTCTGAACAAAATGTGCCTCTTTCTGAATCTTCTAATTCTTAGCGATGTCAAATTAGACGAGCTGCGCATAATGACTTCAATTGATGATATGAAGGTAAAAAGCAGAAAAGTTGAAAGCATTTCAATCAAACAGGGTTAAGTTCATAGAAAAAGTGATAAACAGACGAAAAATTTCAGTAATTCTTCTGAATTTTCCATTTTTTATTTTGAATAGGTTTGTTTAATGCCGTGAAGCCAAACAATCTGCGGAATTGATTTAATATATACAGTTATTTCCCCTTCGAAGTTGGAACAATAAAATTTACATACTGCACTATAACCAAAAAAAAACTTACAGATGAAAAATGAATGTATCCCCGCAGTTCAAGGGTATGTACAAGATGGTATGAAAAGTACAAATAGTTTTCGTTCAATTGTTGTAAAAAATTTTATCGAATTCTTCTAAATCGTTCAATGCTACCAATATTGGTCTAATTAGCAAAAGGGCAACTGGCGTAAGGAAATTGGAAGGATATTACGACTGGTTAAATGGTGACTAGTATCTTTCGGTCAATCTGTCGTCTAGGATAACGACCAATGTGACCGATGGCCCTTTTCCGACACTTTATCAAAAAAGCGTCTTTTTTCGAAAAATTTCGGGAGATTACTTTTTCTCCTGGGTCTTGACACTCTCTTAGGTGGCTGCTTTGGTGTCGTCTGAACTTCTTCTGGAGACTTTTTTAGTCGAATGCCCAATGGTCGAAACCCCGCGTAAGGTATCTTGCAGCCAAGCCACTCTATTCCGTTTTTAAATAGCACTATTTCCCCCATTTTTTGATCATCTAGTTCTTGTCTAGGATCTTCAAATTGTTTAGAAAATCGATTTGCGTTCTTTCACCGAGTATTTTAAAACTTTAAAAAACTTTCGATGTAACAATTTGTGAAAAATATGTTTTTTTTATAAAGGATTCAAATAAAAACTGGAATTCATTCACGTATCCCTTTAATCATGAAGTTCACTAAAAATCCCAAATACTAGTGGTTTACCCGCCTAATATGCAAAAAATGCATTGTTTCTTGGTGTTTGATGTTTGTACTAGATTCTTTCCCCACATTGTTATGTACCAGGGAAAATTAAGAGTGAGGATCGTCGGCCATCAAATTGGCCGTTTTACTAGGCTTTTGGTGATAAAAAAAGTTTTGCATCGATAAGGTCTTGAATTAGGGCATCCGTTGGGCTGATAGTAGATAAACAGTGTTTTTTTTCTTCAATTTCGCTTATTTTTTTCACGGATAAACACTTCCCTAATCCATTCGGCTTCTTCCGCTTCCCTTACGTTTTAAGTACCAGCTTAATCTGTGAGAGCCCCCAGAACTGTTTGAAGGATTCGCTATCCCTCTGTTTTCTATTAGGAAGATTTAATTCTCAAACATCGTGTTTGGAGGATTATTAAAAGCGGTATTGAGCAGTTTCTAATAAATTCTAATTAGCTAAATCTTTGACCCATGGGTTTTTCTGTGTGAAGATCGCTTCGCCTTAGTTATCTGTTGTTTGTTGTTCTAGGCTCATCTCATCCCGTTGAACTTTTTGTTCTCTTCGTCTATACGCTTCTACTCCGCGGATCACTCGCCTTCATGAAGTTTTTATTTCTCGTTCCACCATCGACTCTACTTGTGTCCAACTCGCTACCTTGGTGTTGTTCCAGGATAGGGATTTGATTTGTCGGTATTTGCGGTCGGTCTAGATTTGCAGAAACCTCAATTCATTTTTTGCCTTGATTACCAAATTTGCATCGGTCGCTCTATTGTGTGATTAGGCCAGAAGGAAAAAATTCCCGCAAGTTTGATATTTTGACTAAGCTATCATAAAATGTTGTCTTGCTATATAGACTTACCCACAAACATTTACCCTACTTTAAAAGACTAAAACAAGAGTCTGGAACTGTCTGGTAAATAATCAATTCTCGAGATCATTTGATCCAAAATACAAAACAAGTCACGCTAGTGACAAATTGGGCGATTTAACAAAAGAATTTAGCTGCGCTACTCAAACAAAAGAGCTAAGTTGCGGTGCAACTGAAAAAAACAATGGTGGCCTGAATTAAACAATGAATTTGGCGGCGCGACTTTAGAAAAGACTTTGGATCGGCCTTAAAAAGTTGTGGGTTACGGCGGATTTTTTTCTATCGCATCGCTGTGAAATTGACAGTTTTTGTTGCACCTGCCAAATTTGGGTCACGCTGTTCTTATTTTAAGGTGTGAATCTCGGCTGAGACCAGCCGCTCAAAACAGGCTTCAAACTTGGTGCGAAACATTGACTAGGACGGCAAAGATTCCAATGCATATACATGTATTTTGTTTGTAATTTTAATTCAGCATATAATTTGAAATACGAAATTCTGAACTGGTATTCGAAGCTGATAAGCTGTGACTCATCATTGGTATTTCGATTCCGTGCTGCAGAAAAGGTTTACTGCTTTTTTTCTGTATTCCCTTACCAGCCAACTCCACAGGCTTAACGCCACTGAGCAACCAGTGGGTCTACTAATGCTTCGTGAGAAAAAAGTTTACATATTTTACTTGGGAGTTTGGGTGCACTTTTTCGGAAGAAGTAGCAGCTTTTTTTGTTAGAATTTATATGGCCCAAATCTGATCTATGACGTACTTTAAAAATTGGAATATAATGCTCAAATTTGATTGGTTGAAATTAGTTTCGGCAAATAACAATCTGGATACTCAATAAAAACAGAAACTCGAGAAACAATTCGACAATTTTGGGCTGTCTAAAAGAAAAGACACAAAATATAAACTGTTTAGCTGAAACTTTTTAACAACAAAATTTTCAGAATTCGGCAACAACTGTATGAGAACACAAACCTGCCCGCTTCAGGACAAAACCCTCAATGTCCCGACTACCTCTTGACTACAATCAAATAACAGTGCTATATTTCATTAGAGTCGTTAGGGAGAACGGTTACTCCAATTTAGAGCAAAATACATAAATCTTATTTCCGATTTATGCCTACGATTTATTGCCTACAAATGTTCTCAAATAATTAGAAAAATTTAGTGAACTATACATTTTGAACTGATTGACTTTTTCCCTCGAAAATTTAAAATATAAAGTGTAAAAAATTCAGTCAAGGAAATTAATTTGAACAACGAGTTTGTCTGAATATAACATTTTTGGGTGCAAGAGTGTTTCGTCTCATATAAATTTTTTGCATTAGTTACGCTGAAATATGAAAAAAAGTTTGTATGAAATAGTATGCGTGCGTTAGTATGCAAAATTTGGAACAAAAACTGGGATCGGACGACCATGAAACGTATCAGGATTGTACCTATGAATGCAAGCGGTGCAATAGGCTATCTGATGTTTTCAACTTTGTCCAACTTCCCTAAAAAAATGGAAAAAATGAAGAATAGGGGGTTTGATTGGCTAAGAACATATTAAAATTTGGCCCAACTTATTTTGAAAGAAAGGGCAAACAACACTGCTCGTATCAAGGCGAAACCCTGAATGTTCCGATTGCGTTTTATTTTTTCTGGAGTAATTTTAAAAAAATCCTTCCACGCGCTATGTTAAATACAAAGTGATCCATTTTGCAATTAGCAAAGTATTAAATAGACCAAAGAGCATACCCAAAACCAATTTGGAACAATTTTTAATACGGATTAATCCTTCTCTAACGCGTTAATAGCATGAAATTTATCGCGCATGAATTGTCCCAACATAGCAATTTTTAAAACCCCATAACTTTACAAAACTGTTTACCGGTGAAACATCTTTTACATTTGAGCTCAAGGAAACAGTATGTTTCGAGTGATATTTTAAAAAAAATCCGTCAAAAATTGCTAGTTCAAAAATTCCAAGTCGAAATTTATCTGGAGAAAAAAAACCACCCGAGCACAAATGTTCCCTCACTTTTTCCGGATCTACTTAACAAGTATCTTCCTTTCAGGAGAGTAAATTTTCAACTTTGATTGTCTGAATAAAGGAAAACTACCCCGAGTTTAGATCTTCTAATACTTTGCATAATTGGTGAAAAACTTGCTGTTTCTTAAAAAAAATTATTCGTTAGTACAAACGATCAAAAAAATCAAATGGAAAAATTGTTTGTGCGTACTAAGGTTATAGCTCATCGCTATTTCTATGTTGTATTTGAAGTTTGAAAAGTGACCTCTTGTTCATAGGCGAGATATGAGCCCACTGGTAGCTACTTGATCAATGCAGGTGGATCGGGTGGATGGGAGGCTCACTTTTCAGAAGGCTACAGACAAAAGTTTGACAAACTTACCAGAGAAAACTTCGGACACTTCCCATTTGTAGATAAGTTTTTATGAACTGAACTTGTTATCAAAATAAGAAACGTAATTTAGGTTCCTCGTGGTGAATGTGATGAGAATGCTTTGTGGTTATTTCTTCTAGCTGTAACCTGGAAATGCTAACTTCAATTTAATATTTTACTCTAAATAATTTGGCGTAGACAATTGGCATATGAAGACGGTTTTCAGTTTATTTTTATTGGAAAAGGACGTTTTTGGCGTAGAACGTTTTTGTTTTCAAGACACATGAACCGTCTCAGAGCACGCTCCCAATAAACTGCATATGGTAACATACTTAAATGTTGTAATCATAACCAATTATCTTGGAAAACGTAACCAAGTATTTTTTAGCCACATCATGGATTCAAGGCCATTATAACAGTTTGTTTTCGAAAAAAAAGAAACCATCATAATCCATCATAATACATTTTCGATATAATCAATTACTTTTTTGTTTTCAAAATCCATGGACTTCGATTTTTTTTGCAGATTCTAACTGTTTAATCTTTCTGGAAAACTGGAACCCAAATGAACACCCGAAGCCCCTCACCGTTCATCAACTCCGAAACTGTTCTCTTCGCCCCAGTTTAACGCCCCCCATTTATCGTACTACACGTATAGGGGTGAAGAGAGTAAACCAGAGGGTAGTAAAAACATAACATATTCTAAAAATGCGATTGGTTTTAACAAAATGTGAAGTTTATTGAGACAACAAAGTAACTAACTAAAGTTTAAAACGATTACAAACAAATAAAAACAGAACTTAAGAAGAGATAAGCATTGATTTAAAAAATCATAATCGAATGAAAAAAATTACATTGCTTTCGATAAAAAGTTCGAAAATAAGTTGAAAATATTGTTTTTTTTATTGTTTTCAAAAATAGTAACATTATAATCAGGTTTTCATATATTACAGTATTTTTTCCAGTTCTCAATATAAAAATTTTGTTTATAGAATATAGATAATCAATATTATTGAGTATTATCCCAGAAACTCCAGATCACGTTTTGTCGAAGGGTAGGGAGAATAGGCGTTTTTATTTTTTAAGGCAATTTTGGCTAATTTTCTGACTGATTTTTGAATCACTTTGTTAAAATCTGGACCAGACAATTGAAGTTTTTTCAATCTGCGTACTCTAAAGAGGCTGGGCATGAATTGAGTCATATTTCGCATATCAGTAGACTTACAGAAACGAATTTTACGTTTTTTTTCGTGTTTGGAACTTTCAAGTAGTGGTATTAATGAAGCCAAAATTGGCATGCTATGGTAGACCTGAGCCTACAGGTCAAAAGAGAGGTAGTCCTCATGCACTATCATTGCCATGGCTATGGATTGAACACTGGATCTGGTGTTTTCATGCTAGAACAGATTGTTCCCGGTAGGAATCGTACAAAAATTGTAAAGGAGAAAATAGTCGAAGAGCCAAAAACCAATCTTTTAGTGCTTAGATCAGAAATATTCTAAGCAATAGAACTTTGATCCAACTTCTTTGACTTGCCAATTATGAATTATAACACTGTCCTACATTGACTCATAAGAATTGAAACAACGAACACAACATTTTGAATAGTCTTTTTAATGGCTGAGCTTGTCATTCAAACCTCTGAAAAATTCATCGCTCAAATTGTGCCTGACATGAAAGACCTAACTTAGAACATTACACAGAATACAAGGTTTTAAAGCGAATTTCGTGTTTTTTTAGCAAGCAATTTTCGACGAATTTTTTTTATATCATTCAAAAGATATATTTAATCTGAGCTCAAACTTAAAAAGATACTTATATTGTTATTTGTTTGTTCCGACTTTCGATGACAACGGAAAATTTATGCTCGGTGTGGTTTTTTTTATTCAGTCAATTTTCGCCGATGAAAATAATAGTTTTCTGCAAACATTTTTCATACCCCATTGCAGATATCAACTCCTTAAGGTCAAAAGTACAAAGATATTTTACCTCCGATAATTTTTTGTAAAATTGTGGGGGTTCGAAAATTGCCAAATTGGCCATGTTCTGGACTAAATTATGCGCGTTTTGAAGAACTTTTTCATAATGCTGAAAGCGTAACGCGAAATATTTATGCGTAACGAATTATTGCACTCAACAAAATCGATTCAAATTGATTTGAGGCTTGCTAGCTAATTAATGTATTACTTTCATACGACTCAACATTTCACACTTTAATATTGTCCAAAATTTACAGGTTTTCAATATTTTCTTTTCCCAAAAACTCTTCGATGTGAATTAAGGGACAGTCGGAAAATTCAGGGCTTTGCGCTATAATAAGAGCACTTTTGTTAAAAGTTACCTTTGTTTAAAGTTTGCCAATTTGGCCAATTCGGGACAACTGACGGGCGGTATATTGCGTAAAAATAATGCATATGCGGAGATTGAATTCGTATTAGAAAACGTTCCAAATTGGTTTTGGACATGCTCTTTGTTCGTTTTAACACTTTGCTCTTTGCAAGTTATTTTACTCTGTAGTTAATATAGCGCTTGGGGGAATAATTTTCATAAAAACGAATAAAAAATTTTGAAATTCGTTCAGTTTTTTTTTTGAAAATTAGCCCAATTGTTTTGTTTTCTCTTATTCCGTAGAAATTAAAGTGCAATCAGAACAATAACAACTTCGCCTTGACACGAGTGGTTTGTTGTTCCGAATGTTGAGAAAAAACAGAATAGTGTTCTGAAGAAAACTGAATATTTATGCTAGGTATTGTTTTTTTATTCAGTCAACCAACTTTTTCCGATCGATATAATAGTCTTCAACAACAATTTTTTATACCTCATCAAAATCAAAGTTACTGACTTCCAGATTTTAACTGTACCTCCGAGTATTTTTGTTAAATTCTAGGGGTTTGAAAATTGCCAAATTGGTCATGTTCTGCGCTAATTTACGCGCGCTTTGAAGAATTTCTTCATATTGCTGAGAGCTTAACGCAAAATAATTATTTGTGGCGAAATATCTCGCACAACAAAATCGTTCTAATTTGAATTGAGGCTAGCTTATCGAATCGGTCGCATTAATTTCAAACGAATCAACTTTTCACACTTTGATATTTTCTAAACCTTATAGGTTTTTATAATTTTCTTTTCCCAAAAACTATTTGATATGAATAAAGGGACAGTCAGAACATTCAGGGCTTTGCACTGATATACAAGCAGTCTTGTTTATGCTTGGTGTAGTTTCGGTCATTTTCCGTCTATAGACGGAGTTGTTTTATTTAATTTTTTTACACCATTGAAAATATTGACTCCTTGTATCAATTTGTAAAAAAATGTGATACCTAAATTGTGTTTTGCAAAGTTTTGAGGGTTTGAAAACAGCCAATATTGCCATGCTAACTGAGTAAATTATATGCGCTTTGAAGTTTTTTAAATCATAATGAAAGCTCATTGTAATGTTCTCCATAACAAAATCGCTCCAAATTGAATTGAGGCTAGCTAATTGGTCCTACTAGTTTTGTACCACTAATATTTTCACACTTAAGCTTCGATACTGTCCAAAATTTATCGTTTTCCATTACTCTCCAATACTCTCTAATTGTCTTACCAAACATTATTCGAGACCAATTAAAGGGCTGTCGAAACATTCAGGGCTTTGCCCTGATAAATGAGCAGTCTTGTTCCTTTTTATGGTAATTTTGCTCTCAATTTGGGTAAAAATTAGACAAAAAATGAGAACAAAAATTATTGTTAGTTGGACCAGATTTCAGAAGACGCAAATTCGTTGCAAAAATTGAGCTCAAATGTTTACTCCAAAATGGTTCATTTTGAATTTTTAATCAATTAAAGTTACGCTGAAACTATCGGGTAAAATTGCGGAACAAGTTAATTAAAAAAGTTTTATATACCGCGAAAGACCTTTACATTGGAGTAATTTCGAAAAAGTTGAACCAACAAAAACAATTTTGCTTGATAGCCAAAAATGGCCCATTTTACAATTTTTATTTAGAGTCAGTGTGAAAACGATTTGCGCAAAATGTAAGCGATTAGGGCCGAGTTTAGTTTTCTGGGGCTAGTAGTTTCTTCTTGATATAACTTGCTCAGCGTTTGACTCGGCTGTTTGAGCGCAATTTTGACTGATCAAAAAAACCACAAACGACACACTTTTGGTATTCAATTTGGGCACAAAGTTCCTTTAAAAAGTTTCACCGTATAATTGCGGCTGATTTCTCAGCAATTTTTGTCTTCATCTTTTCCTGATCGAAAAAAGCACATAGAGATTTTTAAGTTTTCCTCGTTTTTAGCAGGTCTTAGCAGGTGCACTACAATTTATTCAACATTTTCTCTACATTATAAGGCCAAAAAATGCACTGGATAGGCGGAAATTTTGATTTCTGTAGGTCACTTGAATCCACAGACAAGTCTTTAAACTTATTCGAAAGTGTAAATGGGCTCCACTTAGACAAATTCCTTGGATTTCGGCTCTCAAATACTTGTGAGGTAATTTTTTTTGGCATTTTAGTTTTGTCTCGGGTTCCACAACAAGCGAGTTTGCGGATTCTGCTTACAATTTGCGAATTCCACTAACAATTTGCGGATTTAGCAACTGCGTGATTGTGCTATACACCTATTTTTATTTGCGTGTTGGTTCCAGAAATTTTCACGGGTTCCGCAAATTTTGTTGTGGATTTCGCAATTTTGGAATTCTCAAATTCGTCTGTTTTTGGAGCAATTTTGGGCATTACAGTGTTTTAGCTATTTTTTTATAATCCAAAACCGCAACGAAGATCAAATAAAACTAGCAATTTTGCAAACTCCGCGACAAATCTTTTTTGACCTGTTGTGGAATCCGCTCAAAATTCAAAAAAATCACAGATTGGCCTCGTAATATAAACAGTATGAAACCAAACAAGACTGCTCGTATCAGGGCAAAACTCTGACCATATCTAGCAAGGTTAATAGACTAGAGTTGACTTTTTTAAGAAAAAAATAGGATAAAATTTTCAAAAAAAGAAAATTCTTGAAAATTTGTTTCGAGATTTTTGTCAAAGTCATCACCCCACAAGCTATCTAAAGTACAAAGTGATATAATTCGCATAGAGCAATGTATAAAATACACTAATAAGCATGCCTCAATTCAATTTGGAACTATTTCTAAAATGGATTAAATCTCCGCTTATGCATTAAAAGCTCGAAGTATATAGCGCGGTAATTGTCCCAAATTTGCCAAATTGGGACAACTAACCCTCATAACTTTATGAAAAAAAAAATTTCTTAGATGAGTTTAAAAAATTTTTGTCAAAAACGGCCAATAAGAAAAGCAAATTTGTGTGGAGAAAAAAATCACCCCGAGCACAACTATTTGGTCAATTTCTTCGAAAATAGTCGGAACAAAATATTTGAGTGATTAATTTCAACACTGAGACAAATAAGCCAATCAGAATCTAATTTAGAGAAGCTCAGAAAAAGCTGCTTGTTTGCAGCTGTTTAAACATTCGCTTCTGACATGAGAAATAACCCCAAATTAAATACTGATAACTTACCATCATCGTCTACCTTGTCGATGATTTCTTTTAAGTCTCGTTCGCTCATGTGTTTGCCCATGATCTTCATGGCCTGTCCCAACTCACTGGCATCTATACTGCCACTTTGGTCAGTGTCGAAGGCATCGAAGGCCGCTCTCAATTCGCCGATCTGCTCCGAAGACAGCGCAGCCACAAGCTGAAGAATTATTGATAATACTCGATTAGAGAAAAAAATCTGCTAATTACTTGCTCAAATCATGGCAGTAACAAAAGTAAAACGTCTTAAATCACATTGAACCGAAGTGGACCCGGGATTTTTCTTTTTTGGCAGACTAATTTGGTTTTCCGAGGTCTCCCAAAAAAACTCCAGGTGAGTTTTAAAAACCGGCCGAAAATGTGGTCTCTGAGATTTTTATAGAAAGCTTCAACCAAATAACTCGCTTTTCTATAATACATATTAGCGCCAAAGGAGCTATTAGCAAAAGTGCAGGGTCGGGTTTCAATCTGCCAGTTACCATAGAATGATGTGCGTTGAATTCACTTTCAGAAAAAAAAAACAATTTACAAATCAGAAGTGTTTTAAAAGTGTTTTAATTTTGAGGATTATGATTATGTTTCAAGGGACTTTGAAATCCGGTTCTATACTATAATCAAGATTGATTTATATTGATTATAATCATGATTGGTTTTTCAGAACATGCCGGATCATATCTCGACCGATTGAACCCGATTGGGTGTAGATAGAAAAAACGCATGAGTGATAAGGAAAAACTTACATCGTCGATGTATGCCTGATCACTTAATGAGCCACGTTTTTTCGAGAGTCTTGACATAATCAAACTTAAGCTGAACAGTTTTTCATAAGAGATTTGATTATTTAATTCGTTGCTTTTGCATTAACTTGTGCAAGAACGTGACCAATTGTGATTAAGAAAATTGCAAAAATCACGTAAGATTTTCATTATATGGTATGAGACTAGGGGTCCGATAATCTGCTTCGTATACCGTTTAAGCGTTAACAAAATCAAACTATGAAGAATTTTCACGGTGAATTTTCAGCCTTTAAAAACGATTTAGAACAGCATATAGCATTAAAAATTCTAGTCACAGTAAACTTTACAGGTGGCTGACTTTAATCTTTGCTCAATCTCAGATAAAAGTGTTTTGACTATAATGCATTTAAAGTTTCAAGCTTAAGTTTGTGTGTTTTTTGTCAATTTTTTCAATGTTAGACTTGAAAGTAAGTACATGAAAAGTACACAAAAACATAATAATAATAGAAAGTTCAAAAACTTTTTTTTATTGAAACTGAAATTTCGTCATTTAAGAGTCCTCCCCTAGTCGATCAAGGGAGGTTATCTTGCAAAATCTTGCTTGATAATCTCCTTTAAATATAACTTTTTCAAGGCAAAAAACCTTTATAAATATGATTTTTAGAAAAAAAAACTTTCACGCGAAAATAACCTATAGCGTTTGTGTAGGAAGTGTAGTCATAACACTTAAATACTTAGATAAATGAACAATTGAAAAAAAGAGAAAGTTTAACCGCATAAAATATGAACATAAAGGTTTATCTTGTTTATGTGAACATAAAAATATCTCGAGCTAACTGACTCTTTTGATCAAAATTTTGACATATATAAGAAAAAAATTAAATCTTAATTGCTAGAATTGGAAAATTATAAGCATTAATTAAAACAATGAAAAATATTTTTGAAAATCTTAATTAATCACAATCTGAGACTTTTTACTTTACGAAAGCAGAAAAAAGAGCACATAAATGAGTATTTGAAAACCTGATCAATTTAATTTTTTTATGTGAACTTAAACTCGGAATTTTTCGTGACCGTAGTCGAATTGGATCTCTGCGGTGTTTTTTGGCGTTCAGAAAAAATAATTGTGAAAAGTTTTGTAGTGCGTTATCTTGCAAAGAAAACCTCAATCTTGAAAGATTTTGCAAGATACCCTTCCTTTTGCCAGATCTTCTAGATATCCCTCATTTGCAAGAAGGTTGTAAGATATTGCAATATAACTTTCCTTGGTCGTCAAGAGTATGTTAAAATAATTTCAAAAATCTGTTAAATTTGAATTTTTTTTTTCAAATTGATAAACTAAAAATTTTGCATACTTTCTGACAAAACCCAACTAAAAAAGGGTGGGTTTTTTTTTCTTCAGACAAATTTCGACTTTTTAACTAGCCATTTTTGACGGAATTTTTTTATATCATTCGAAAAGTATTGTTGTCTTGAGCTTAAATTTGAAAAGATATTTCACCTGTGATCATTTTTCGTGAAGTTATGGGGGTTTAAAGATTGACATTTGGCAAATTTAGGACAATTAACGTGTGATATATTTCGCGCTATTAACGCGTAAGCGGAGAGTTAATCCGTCTTAGAAATCGTTCCAAATTGGTTTTGGCCAATTTAGGACAATTAACGTGTGATATATTTCGCGCTATTAACGCGTAAGCGGAGAGTTAATCCGTCTTAGAAATCGTTCCAAATTGGTTTAACGAAGCTTATTTGCCATAATTGATTTGTTACAACTAGCGAAATCTATCCTTTTGTACTTTATATGGTGTGACGGGGGATGAGCTTCATAAAAAATTTCTAATTTTTGAAGAAAAAAATTTTCATTAGTTTTTTTTTACATTTGATTTTATAATGTTATTACTGCTCCATAAGCCTTAAAAGGCAGTCGGAACATTCAGGGCTTCGCCCTGATACGAGCAATCTTGTTAAATTTGTATTGAAAATTGTATATTTGATCCACAAGAAATATTAGAGGCCATTCCATGAAACATTTAGCAATAGCCTTTCAATTTAAGCAATATATCAGTTTTCTGTTAGCGTCGGATCATCAACTACATGTTGGAGTTTTATATTCGCTTCGTTTATATTTTTTATTTTGCAAAAGAATCCGAGTAACAGAAGCTGAAAGTTCAATACTTATAAGCCTGATAGTTTCTTTCGAAGTCTGTTGAACTTGGATTTGTTTCTGTTTGATAACATAAAAATTTAGCGTAATTTTTGGCACGAATAGAGTCTTCTTTGAGTTTTGTTATAAGTTATAAGACTTCTCGTATCAGGGAGAAGAGAGGAATACTCTGGGTGTTTTTTCTTTCATTACTAAAAAAAACAATTTATAGAGTAATGTTTGTTTGTTGGTTTGTTTCAACCCCTTTTTTCACAAACAAAAGCGGGGTAGACAACTTTTGTTTCACAATAGACAATTTTTTTAGGTAGTAAAAAAATATTTTGATTAATTTAACGGCGGTAAATCAGGAAGCATCAAGAAATTTTATTCTAGGCAAAATTAAAGTTTTTGGTTAGAGTTGGATCATCAGCTACAACACTGCTTGCTGTTTGGATCAAGATGAAAAGGTAAAAATTCAGTGTGCTATTTAAATTGCGTGAGTTGCAAAACTTAATATAGTTGTTTTGTCAGTCTCTAGCTGTATCGTTGACAAAATCAAACATTAATTCTAAAACGCGTGTGTAGTCTGGTATAACTTGAATCTAAAATGATTTTTTTATGGGTGAGTAATCACAGGTTCCAAAAAGCAAAATCAGTCCCATAGATTCCAAAATTAAGAAGAAAATTCGCACTGACAAGAAACGGAATAATTTTAAATCAAATCATGTAAACAACACAAAACAATTAACTCAATAACTTTTCTTGAGACTTTTATATTTGTTTGGAACATACTCAAAAATTTTTTTAAAAACGTTGGAAATGAAATTGAATCGTAAGATTTTTATTTGACTTTTTATGTTGGTGTTTGGCGTTAAAAGAAACTATGAGTATAATTATCATGTAAAAAATTGTTTGTTTATTCAGTTTTTCAAATTTAAGTTCATTTGTTTTCTTTAATAGAACTGCGCCAAAACATTGATAAAGAGAATCGCTATTAACAAACTTTTGCTGAATTTAATATGTTGCGGACACCCTTGGATTTGCAAATTCAAAAAGGATTCCGTCAAGCAGTTTACGGTAAGAAAAACTCAAAATGATTCCGGTAAGGACCGCAGTAGTTAAGTTTATATAATAATTTTTATAAAATAAACAAATCTAAAACAATTTTTTGCTTCCGTAAAATCTTTTTGAACTTATTCTAAATCAATTTACTTATTTAAAAAGACTACTTTGATTTTCCTGCTGTATAATTTATGTATTAAAATAATTTAAAACGATATTAATTTCAATTTTGTTAGTGCGTGGATATCTTTTCAACAGGTCATAAATTATTTTAGCAAACTTGATATAAAACAGCTAATTTTTTGCGGAGCTGATCGCCACTAAGTTTTGTTTTCACTCCTTTCTTTCGCGACACGATGGCGCAATTGCAGCGGTCAACAATAACTAGGTCAGAACATCATCTTTAAGCGAACGATAGAAATCAGATCTTTGCCCAACTTTTTGAACAATCCTTTATGATGAAAAGACCAAATGTTAAAAAAGGGACCCAATGAACTTTTAGCCAATGAGAATTGAGTACAACTATTAAAAGAATTATAAGAAATTGAAATCATGGAGAACCTATTTTTTTGAAAGGTTGAATTATTATTTATAGCAAGTAAAACATTCAAAATTTTCGTCATGAGAAAAAATAATACAATTTTTTGGTCCGTTACTTCTTTTTTGCCAAGCTGTTTTCACAAAAAGAACGTAATCTATTTTTCAATCGGTCGTGAACTTAAACGCGAAATAATAATAGTTGAACAAAAATTTAAGATTTTTATTCAATGTCACAAAGAAATTTTGAAAACTATTGACAAATATGGAAAAAAAATTAGCTATAAAACCATTATTTATGAAAAATCTGGGACTTGCATTTTAGACCATATTCATTTGTCACCACGAATAATTCAAAATTTGTCGCCAGAAAAAAATTTCAAATGCAAATGTGGTCGATCTCATTCAAATTTTTGGGCTTTGATTCAATAAATATAGCGACAAAAGAAAATTGTAAACGGATCGGAATCATTCCCAAATGGAGACAGAACACTAAAACCTCAGAAAAAAAAACTGCAGCCTAAAAAAAAAAGAATTAAAATTGTTCTTGAGCATTTGCATGGGTGCATCAGGAATGGATATCATTAAAAAACTTAGTTTAATATTAGCTACAAATAACAAATCCATCCTTTGAAAATACTTTAATTTAGTATTCAAAATTTTGAAGAAAAAAACATGAGAATCAGTCAGCTTCAAAAATTTTGAGGTACGTTGATTGCTTAAGTTTTTTTTGCGCATTTGGTCCATCTTTAATGAGAATAGTCCCCAAGTTAACCTGGGTATCGCTCAAGAGGGTATCGCTCTAGTCATATAATTTTATTTCAAAAAGCGATCTTTGCATCAAAGCCACAGTAATAGGATTCAAAATCTTCTGTAGCAAAACTCATATGGGCTTTTCTCAAAACAGAAAAACCAAATGCGCAAAAAATGTAGCCAATAAAAGAAATTTGAACAATTTAAAGCGATTTGCTTTTTTAGCTTATTTTTTGACAGTGTTTTCTCTGCTTATTTTAAAAAGTTTTTGCCAATCAAAAACTTTCAAGCAGCCTCAATTTTTTTCTTCACAAATGATTAAATATGTCTCAACATTTTTTACAAACCATAAACAAAATCTATCATATTTTTTCTTGATGTAGTATATTTTTTAAAATTCACAGGCATACATGAAGATTCAATTTTACTAGTAGTATCAACAAAATACTCTAAAAGGAATGACATTAAAATTGGTACACAATTGAATGAGGAGTTTTTTCAGTATCATTTTTAAGAAACAAATTCAAAGTTTCTATGATTATTATAATTTTGCATGCCAAATATATCATGCCATATAAATTTTTCAACAAAATCTCCAGAAAGAGGCCTCAGAAAGCAGATCAATTGTGAAGCAAAATCAATTT